AGCAAGTTCGAGTCCCACTGCAGTCAGCATGTCGGTGTGTCCCTGAGACACTTCACCCCAAAGTGCTCCTGTGGGGATCGTCCACAGTGCTGAGTGTACGTGAGTCGCTTTGGATAAAAGCGTCTAACAAGTGAGTAATGTAATATCTGATATGTCCTTTGGCCTGAAAACAGTAAACGCTCCGCTCTGCAGTCGAGGCTAGCAGGCACTCAGCGTTCTCTCCCCCCACACACACACACACACACACACACACACACACACACACACACACACACACACACACACACACACACACAGTGTAATCTGCAAGTACTACTCCACAGAATCTGCCATCTGCTGCTTAAGAAAAAACAAAACAAAAACAAGGCCCAGGCACTAAAAATACACACGGCTGCGTCATGCACACACGAGCAAACAACACGCTTTCCGCTGATGCACTGTAACTGAAACAGAGCCTGGAGTACGTGTCACAACACCTGTCTAAACTGAATTGAGTTGTACCTATAAATATATATCTCCACTCACTACGGCACTAAGTGGCTCTGTCTGATTGCATGATCCCAAACTTTGAAACGGTCTTGCTGCGGGATTCAAGTACCTCCGAAGTTGTCCTTGGCTCGATATTTAAGGTCGCAAGAGAGCGTGTAAAATATTCAACATGGCAGATTGGAAAGTGGGGCCAAGCCACTAATAAACTGGCCCAAATGAGAAGACAGTCCATATTGCAATGAAACATTGATCACGGAAGCTATTCATATTTTAAACCGAGGAAACCGAGCCTGTCCGGTCCGATGGGACTTGGTAGGAAAAGTAATGATAAAGTCATCAGTGCTGAGGAAGACAGCAGCCTGAAGGGAAGAAAGACCCGACCGGGCAGATGGGATTTCTCTCACACATTCAAACTTACTGACACACAGAGCATTAAGCTCGGGCTGCCTCTAACTATTATTTCTCCTCCTCCATCTTTTGATGAACTCATTAATAGTTGTGTCTATTATAAATCATTTGTAAATGCACATTATAATCATCCAGAGCCCAGCAGGACATCTACAGATGCATTTCATTTCCCTCACATTTCAGAACGTGGATAAACTTGGCCTTTTTGCTTGAGAAATGTCAGTATTCTTGAGTAGATTTGTTCTGTTCTTCGTTGTAGTTGGTCGATTACCAAAATAGTTGGCGCTTATAATCAGTGTTGGGACTAACGCGTTACAAAGTAACGCGTTAGTCCCAACACTGACTTTTGGCAGTAACTAGTACTCTAACGCATTACTTTTTAAATTCAGTAACTCAGTTACCGTTACTACATGGTGCGTTACTCCGTTAGTTTTTTAATATAGTCAACAGCCAGGCGAACAGAGATGAGAACTGTACTTAAGTACTTGAGTAAATGTACTTAGATACTTCCTGTGTCACATGCGGAGACGGGCTGTGGGCGTGTTTGTGTTGTTTACTAACAAGACTATCATGGCGGCGGCGGAGCTCAAGTCTAGTTTCTCCACCTGGAGATATTCTCACTATTTCACTTTTGTCGAGCACAAAGAAAATAACGTTTTAGTTAAATGTAAGTTGTGTCTTGGCGGGTCAAAGATCCTATCTACTGCCCAAACCAGTAATTCAAATCTCTTAAAACATCTGCAAAAACAACATGCTGGGACGAAGCTAGTAGCTAAGACCACAGAGACTCAGCCGACTAAGCAACAGCGGCTGGATTTTAACCAAGGGACTGCTGGCCAGGGGAAAGTCGATAAAGCCATTGCACGGTATGTTGTAGAACACATGCAGGCTATTGCTACAGTGGAGTCACCCGCTTTCAGGGAGCTAGTTAGTATGATACCATGTCCGGGCGGCACACGGCATATGGGACGGAAAACTTTTTCCAACTACCTGGAGAAAGAATATACAAAAATGGAAAGCCAGCTAATATCGATGCAATCCAGATTGCATATAATGCATGTCAAGTTGATCAACAGATTGTATTATTCTCCAATGCAATAACAGTACTGAAATGAAGGCGATACGGGCATTAATGGGAGCCCTTTTTACAAGTAACGAAAACGTTACTTTTCACAGTAACGCATTACTTTTTGGTGTAAGTAATCAGTAAAGTAACTGAGTTACTTTTGAAATGAAGGAACTAGTAATGGTAACTAGTTACTGGTTTTCAGTAACTAGCACAACACTGCTTATAATTCTGTTAACAGACTGATCAATCATTCCAATATAAAAACAATTATCTATAATAAATACAACATAAAAGTCCCACTGCATGATTTGACTCCGTGAAGATTAAAAAAATCGTCCCCGTCAGCAGGAGATTTCATTCCTGATCAGTAACTGCCTGATACATTGTCATCAAACGCTATCTTACACCCACAAGTCAATTGCAGCAATTTCAACTGAAAGGTGATTATGCAACCGCCTACATTCACAAATGATACACATACACACAATCATGGCACGCCATTGGTCCAGGTGCTGACTTTAGCCCCTGTTCACTCAGTAACCCTAAGTGGTCTTGGTGTGAGAAAAGTCTGCCTCAGCCCAGACAGAGAACCATTTCCACTTTTCTCCATTCAGCAACAAAAAGGACTAAACCTGCTGAATGTAGCCTAATCAGGTAAAACACCACGGGGGGAACCTTCCCTCAGCTCTTATCCTGCCCTGTAAACATTTTGCACGACCCAGCAGCCCCCCCCTCAGCTCCCTGACAGCGTGGAAAGGTCTGAGCGAGTGCTGTTGTGGGCGGAGGTTCGCTGGCATGCCAGTGTTGGCGAATTCATCCAGGAAAAGTGACTCAACCAGTTTAACCACACCTATTCCCTAAGGCTGTCCTGAGCCTCGGGTACAAACATGTTGGCATTTGTTCCGTTGTCATCAGGCAGCATTCTGTTTCGATTTCTATTCAAACTAAACGTTTTGTTTTTTTAAAGGGTATCAAACATCGATGTATGTGATTCACCAGGGAGGGTTTACACGCAGGTCTACAGTGTTTCTCCCTGGAGTAACTGAGGGCTAAGTGCCTTACTAGTAGTGGTGTTCCAGGCGGGATTTGAACTCGCAACCTTCCGATCATCAGCCCACCTCACTATCCATTAGACCACCAAAATTTAATTAAAAAAAGAGATATATATATTATTTAAATGTTGTTATGAGATCCATTTGTGGCGGACGATATTTATTTGTGGTGGCCCGCCACAAATAAATCAATGTGTGGGAAACACTGGAGGGAGGTTGCAGGAATCTAAGTTGAGCTGGAGTCGTTTTGGATATCTGTAAAGATGTAGTTCCTGTAGTAACCCGGTTCCAAGATAAGTAGAGCGCTAATCTCCAAATTGAACAAATCAACCAGAAGTGAAGTCACATGCTTGCTTCTGCAGCCGCGGTGTCTGTCAACATAGTGGATCAACTGAAGCATCAAAACATGTGGACACTATTATGAAATTAAAAATGTCTTGTGAACTATATGAACAGCTAAGTAAATTAAGTGAAACCTTAGAACATGTTTTGTTGCTGTTTATTTGTATTAATGTGTCAAAGTATTTTCTTTCTTTTTCGTGTGCTGATCTTTATATTTTTGCTGCTTGTTTTTAATATTGTTTTTGTTGACCCCAGGAAGACTAGTGGCCGTTTTGTGGAAGCTGATGGGGTAAAGCATAAATACACTACGCCATAACCACATAATGCTGCATTAAGATTCAATAAAATAATTTCAAGCCAAAGTCATAAGGAAACACATACAACCAAAGCAATACGACTAACTTTGTGGTAAATGACCTATTGTATACATTTGTTCTGTACATTTTCTAATAAATGTCTCAAAGAATGAAACGATCCCAGACCTATCTGTGGGCATTGACTCATGAGGCATTACATGTTGACTATCTATTCCTCAACTCAAAGTCCATCAGACAAGAAACACACAGGGCAGCTTTCACACAGCACCAAGCAAAAGTCTAAATGGAACAGGAACATTTGGAAAATCCTTCATCCCACCAACAAAAACACTTGACATGTGATGCCTTCTTCCTGGTTGCTGAGCAGGAAAGGAAGGCAGGAGAATCAGGCCATTTTGTCCATTGCCCTAAATGTGTTTGATGCATGGAAATGCAAACAAAGCCAAGTGCCAATGGCAAGAGGTTAACACTGGACCAGTATAATAGCCAGCACATTGCATATGTGCTTCTTAGAAGGGGCACTCTGCAAAGAAAAATGCCCTAAGGGGATATTTCTGTAGCCATACATTCAGACATAAGTGTGTCTGGCCTACAAAAAACGCATATATTGTTGTTTGCCAGATGGAAATCGTTCACTCTAAAATGTCTCTACACATTCAGCTGTCTTCTTTTTTGCAGTTTCAGAGCAAACAAAGTCTAACATTCCCACACGTCCTGTTCACTCATTCAAATCAAGGATTGCTTGAACTTGTGCACTTAGTTTAAAATGCCCACTTCTTTGTTACCGTTACTTCTTTGGTGATGAATTGAAGGGGCCACTTGTGTCTTTTTAGATTTAAACTGTGTTGGAAGAAGTACTCAGGTCCTTTACTTAATTAAAAGTAAAAATATTGTGGTCTTAAAGTACTCCATTAAGTAAAAGTCCGATTTTAGTCCGCATTACATTTAAATACTGTGTAGATTAGTAGTACAGTATCATACCATATCAACATGTGTTTTTATGTACAAATTAACTAGGAGTGTCAAAATAAATGTAGTGGAGTATAAGTATAAAAGTAGCACTAAAGGAAAAACTCAAGTGAAGCGTAAATATGTCCAAAAAAGTACAGTACTTGAGTAAATGTACTTAGTTACTTTCCACAACTGGATTTAAATTGACGCATATGAAACACACACTGAGAAAATTAAAACAACAACTATATTAAAACACGGATAAAGAGCAACATTAACGTAAATCTCAACTGACAAAGCTGCCACTCAACTGTAACGGACGTTAACGGCTATTATTTGAACTGTTAACAAATCTAACAAAAGCCAACTTACCGTTCACACCGAACACCAGACAAGCAGAGAAAAGTTGCAGCCACACGACAAAACTACTGTGCTGCTTCATGGCTGCTGTTTAAGTCAGACTTTGTTAGTTTTAGTGAGTTAAAGGGACGACAGGCGGAATACAGCGTTTCTCCGGACTGTTGTTGCTTCTGTGGCTCGTGCTCGTTGTGCGGCTCTAAACTCCCAGGCAGCAGGCGTAGAGCAGGAGCACGTGCGCATCAGCTACCAGCCAATCACAGCGAGGCATTTTAATTGTAAGTCCTCCCCCTTCCTTCCCGCTGTCTGTGTGACCCAAAACAAAAACACTCACAGAGAGCAGCAAATCAGCCTGTAAACAAAAAGTATCCGTTAATGAGCTGCATTTCATTACATATATCATGATTTAATATTAAACCACAGAGAGGGGAATAATTGCTCCCCAATTTTCGCAGCTGACCTATTTAGTGTTTCCATGGGGTTACATGCTTCCCTGCAGGGGGCATTTACTATGATATTGTGATTGTGAAAGTCTGACTTAACCCTCCTGTTGTCTTCGGGTCAAATCTGACCGATGTACTACTTTCATCAATCATAACTTTTTTGTTTTACATTCGATTGCATTAAGGCTTTATGATATCCTTCTCACATTTGAACACATACAATTGCTGATCACCACTTTCATTGCATTTTGGATGATTTAGTCAACTTTGTAACACCCATGGTGTTCCCGGCCATAAAGAAAAGGAATTAGTAACCATCCGGATCAGATAAAACACACACACACACACACACATTATCTGTGTTCCCCCCCTTATGTGCCCAATCCCCCCATGTGAATCACACCTGGCACTCACAAACACACACAAACACACAGAACAATTTGACACATTTCCCGCTCTTGTGTGCCCATCCCCCCACATGGATCACACCTGGCACACGCAATACATGTTCAGTGTCTATTCTTTGTATATTTTACTGCAGTTTCTCATGTATACCAGTAGTCTGATACAATATTTACAGTTTGAAAGGGTGTTAAATGAAATTTGGTGATGATTAATGGTTTTTGTGTTAATGTAATAGCAGTTAAAACAGGACCGGTCAAATTTGACCTCCAACATCAAAGTAAGGGGGGGGAAACGAAGACAATAGGAGGGTTAAAGTAACTTTTGTTTCGAAAAATGTGTATAAAGTGTTCAATTGAATGCATTTGGATCATAACAGTGGGTGTTGGTGAAGAAGTCAGCCTACTTGAGTCATTTGATAGGGCTGTGAAGTCATACTTGTTTCAAAAGGATTGGGAAGACTTTCATTGCTACTATTCAATGAAATTGCCTAAAATTGACAGATTTAGAACACACATAAATTGTAAGACCATGCTTTCTTGGTCTCTGTGTCCATTAAGTTATAAGGAGCTGACAAAACATGTGTCTGCCTTGTATTAAATGTGGCTAAATTAGAGCTCTTTGTAGAATTTGTACAAAAAGGTTGGTTATAAAGTGCACACTCGTAAATATTTGCTAAATGTGTGAGATTGTATGAACCAGAACACATGTATTCTTTGCTTTACGTTCTGTTAAGCAGATGATCAAGAGTTATTTTGCGTTCGCATGTTTGTTCTTAATTTAATTGAATCAAGCAGGCAGTAACTGGTGAAATCAAAGCATCTTAAATCCGTAATGTCTTCTTCTGTTGTTGGCCCACTCTCAAATAGTTCTGGGAAAATTCCCATGATTGCACCATGCATGAAATCCTCCTCTGAAATGCAGATTAAGGCCAATGTTTTATTGTGGAGAGCCAAAAAGGTTCATGTGTGGGCGTTTCTTGCGTCAACATCCAGATGGGTCAGAATTGATTTTTGTGCTCGTGGAGACAGTGGGCGTGAGGCGAAAAATGTTTCAAATGGGTGTGAATTTGAGATGGATGTCCAACCGTGTAGGCCGGTTCTGTCTTTCACCTCATTCCTCCTGCATCTATGAAAAGGATTTGGTTGTATGTTTTCTCCACATTTAGGAGACAAAAGCAGCCTGAATATAACAACAGTCATTATCAACTTTAAAGGATGTGACTTCTGCTTTAGCCTTAAAAGTGTACAAGAGATCTATCAAGGTGTTTGACAGAAAGCCACATTCATACCACCACTGTACCGTCCTTGAAAAACACAATTTATTGAGTTTTGACAATTTTAAGTCTTTTAAAAGTATGTGTTTTATTTATAAATGTTTAGATGGACTGCCCCCCCCCCCCCTCCCTTAGGGGAATTCATCCACAAGAAACACACTGGACGCTGCACCAGGTCAGAAACCAGAGGAGACTGTGAAGTCCACCGCAGACGGACCACTTTTGGACAAAATGTACTCTCCATTAAAGGCAGCTCTTTGTGGAATAGCCTCCCAACTGAGATAAGGGATTGTCCCACTCTCAATAGTTTCAAAGGTCAACTCAAAGAATGGTTGAGAAACAATGTATGTGAGGGACTACGGATGGAAATTAGCTCAAAGCTAAAATCCGGCATATTTACACTTGAAGCATTATTTGTCTAAAGTGTTCATTAATGTGCATTGTCCCTATTCAAATAAATGATCAAATGAAATGAAAATGAAGTATATTTCTGCATCCATTCTTTGTTTCCCTGTTATTTGAAATGTGTCTCATTACAGTAGTAGCAACCGTATTCTCAGATGAACTCTACACACTTTGATTAGCAGGGGAACATGTACTCTTCTGTAGCCTAGTAACAGGCCAAAGTTATTTAAATGCAGCTTTAAATGATCTCACGCTTGGTGGAAAAATACAGAGGAAAAAGGCTGCTTTGATAGTGTGCTCACATCACATCTCCATGCTTCATTTGTCTCTCCTTTCTCATGTAATAAAGATCAAATGCAGTTCAAAATGATGCCTCAGTCTTGTGTGAAACCTATAGCCCTTGTTCTCACATGCAGGACCAACAAAAAATCCTTTTCCCCAGATGACCTTTTCACATCAAAGCAACATTTCTAGCTAAATGGGGCGATACCAAGCTCCTATATATTCCCACTCATTAGTGTGATGAACAGTAGGTCAAACAGAAGGTGAATATACTGTCAGACCGGAACTGAAGGACTTTGTGACCCGAGATGTGACATAAAAAAGAAATGAAAGTGCACATTTCCCTTTATTCGGTCAAATCTTGTAAAGTGTGTTCAGTTTTCTGTCCTTTAAATATCACGTGAATTAAAATGCAGAAGGCTGTGAGGTGTTTCCGAGGCAGACCAAGGATATGCTTGGAAACTTAAAGCAGCAGTGACATTACAGTACACGCTTCTGTGTGTGCAAATTGTGTATTGGAAAAGTATAGGGGTTAAATGATAGATATGGGAACTATAGAAATGATTTTTTCAGCAGGTTTGTTTGAAATACAGCAAGTGCAGTTTACAGCTAATCACATTAGTCATTTGTTGTACTCTGCATTAAGGGATGTGTTATATAATCCATCAACTGTATACTGTAACTAAATATTAAGCATGTTTAAACGTCAAAATCGTGTTCTTCTCATGCAACATAGTGGTGGTGACACTGTCCTCTGGATTTTAGGCACTGACACTGATCTGCAAGAGCAGCACTTTAAGTTTTGGCACCACTAAGGTGTGAGCAGGGAGGGGGGGGGCACTTCCCCCCTGGTCACCCCTTGCATGTCTCTTTTGCATTATATGGGAAGCCTCTGATTGATGTTTTTAAACTAGGCTGATTCCAGTAAGCTTTTGTTCCTTATATCTCTTTCAAATGCATGCCAAATATACTGTATGTCTTATTAAGTAAAAATGTGAGTAATATTTAAAAAATAACAGAAGACATAACACGTGTTGCATGCAAAGCTGCATTTTTGTCAATTCAAAGTAAATGTACTAAATTCATTCTATGCACATGAGATAAGAAACCAGAGTCTGTCTGTACAATTCCTAACTCTCATATTTTTTAACTAACCTATTAAACTACACTGGCATAGTATAGATCCTGGAATTCAGTTATGGTTTATGGTGTTGGTGTGCCCCCCCGTGATTTTCAGTTTTCAGTCCTTTGAAAAATATTTCGAGGTGCCACAGAGTGCAGGTGCAGGTGGAGACTTTGCATCTACCTTTGTAAGGTCCTCGGGGGCACAAGGGCAAGTGATTCATGGTTTCTCAATTGAATTGGATCATCATTTGTTCAAAACAATGCATTCCAAATGTGTGCGGAGAGAGTGGGAGAATCAGGGGTCCAGTAAAGGGCCCACAGATCATGTTGTATCCAACACAACAGATGAATTGAGCCCTGTCTCCCTCCTGTCATGTTTCTTCTGTCAACAACTTTAAAGAACTAAACACTGTTGTGTTAGATGCAGCCTGCAGCCTTTTCCTTAAATCTTTTTGCAATGCATTTTTTATTTAAACCACATGTATGTATGTCATTATCCCAGCATCCCAGACAAGCACTCTTCCTGTCCCTAAGATATTTGACTTGACCAAATTTCCGGTTTAAGAGCATCATAAAAACAGCTGGTGACAACCACTACATGCCAGAAAAAGGTTTCTTGATGCTTTAGAAGACAGCAAAATGCAAGGATGACAGATATTTTCCACTCCCGTGGCACCGAAAATGCCAAAGCTTTCAACATGTTGAAGTGTGTTTCAGTACTTAAACCCCTCTTCTTTTTGGAGTCAGCAAGATCCCTAAACGCTGAGTCTCAACAGGGAGGGAATGGCTTTATCCGTGCAGTCATGAAACCATAAGAGGAGTCATGTGCTGCGGGCTGGTTGACGCAAAGTAGCCGTCAAATGTGGTGAACGTCCACCAGGCAGCATCCTCTGATGTTCCCCCTCTGTCAGACAAAGCTTCTTCTCATGACTGACCCTCACTGAGTCTGAGGCACAGGCAGAAGTTCATAATTGTTGGATGAAGCTTCAATGTGACAGAAGCCTGTTTGATCCTAATCCTCAATGTGAAGCACAGAATAATCCTGTACACTCAAACCTTGTGAAAATGTGCTTTACCCGGAGAAGGAAATGCTTTCATTCATAAATCTATACCAGGTTGTGTATCTGTGAATTTTTCACTTCTGTTTTCCACATTAAAAGGAGTCCTCTTTCACTTCTGTCTTACATCTGAAAACACAAGTGAGGATTCACATACATGATGAGGAAGTGGATATGATTGAGGAGGGGAATTTTACATTC